AATCAAAAGAAGAAGGGATAAGCTATGCAATCTCTTAGCTTTAGGTTTTTTGCATCTAATTTCATTATTTTTGTTTTCTGCTTGGTCATAAACTTCTTGATTTCAGACCCGTGAAATTTCTTCCGTTTACTTGGAGGGTCCCTTTCGCAATCATTCCGATGTCTTATTGGGCTTCTTTTGTTTATTAAAGCGAAAGGAAATAATGAAGAATCCCCTGCTTAACTAAAATATTCAGAATGAAATTCCATTGCGTTTCAAGCCACATTCTAAATGCACAAAGAATTAAAAAAAAAAAAAAAAAAAAAAGAAGGAAAAGCTCAACATTTATTATTATTGAAAATATTAAGCATTAACTATGTGATTTAATAAAAAAATTATGTGTTATTAATTATAATTTTAAAATTCAATTCTTAATATCTATATAAAAAAATATCTATATAGAAACACAAAAAGTACTGAACATTATCGCTATCCAATGTGGAAGACCAAGAAACAAAGCATTATTTCAACAATCTTTAACTTTTTTTCAGTCTCACCTTTTCATTAATTGTATCAAACATGATAGCCCTGATGACACATAAGGAAAGAGCTCCCCTGGTGAAGTTACTCGAGAGATAATTAGAAACTGTTTCAAAAAAAATTAGAAAAGTTGTGAACAATAAAAGCACTTTTCCAAAAAGTACAAATTAAAAATTTGATTGTATGTTTACTTGTTCCAGTTTTTGACAAAAAAAAAATCTACAGTAGCTGAAATTAGACTAATGAATGCAGTTTTTTAAAGACAAAACCCTTAACTCCTAAATTTATTTTAAATTTTTTATTGAATTTTTAAATTTTTATTGAAGTAAATAAACTTACAAATTTATCAATTTAAATAATTTAACTCTCTTCTTTATAATAAATTTAATATCTGTTTTTATTTTAATTATATAAATAAAAATAGTACGTATCATATAAAAATAATACCTATCATATAAATAATAATATATTAATATTTTATTGTGATATCCATTGGAAGGCTTGAACTGTTGGTTTGATGGAGGCCACCAGGTATGCTTGTGCTTTTGGCGGCCTATTAAGGCACATAAGCCTGTGTTTCAGATTTTGGTCCTAATAGACCAACCACCTGGAGTATTGGGCTTCGAGAAATTGGCCCAAATACTGTCCTACACTATTTTATGTTGTCTCCTGGCCCATAGGCATGAAAGTTTGTAGTCTCCCAGTCCCTTAATTTCTTCACCAATGATTTTGTCCAATTCATGGGCCTTAACAAGGACCAAATCAATTATACCTAATCTAAAACATGTCACCAGTAAAGACTAAAGAGTTGCTTGTTTGATCCTTCAAAGTAATGTCATATCTAATGCTATAATGTCAATTATCTCTTTCTATTGATAATGAACTTTGTACATCACGATGATATCAATTGCCCAAAGAAATGAAACTTGCAATATAATAATTCCAAAGTGCCCTTTTTAACTTTTATAATTCTCTTTCAATTACAAAATCTTGATTTAAGGTTAAATTAAAAAGTTTAAATATTTGTCATGCTAACAGTTAATCCTTTTATGCATCTAAGGAAAAAAATTCCTCTTTCAATAAGTTTAGAGATTCGAAATTCAAGTTAAAATGGAATTTAAACTTTATTTTTTTTAAATAAAAGCAATTATGAAAGAAGAGAGAAAATACTATAACTGTCCTCGTAAGAACTTCAATCTTAATATGAATCAAGATTTTGTTGTGCATTGTCAACTTATCTAGGACTGCTAGTGTTACTTGATGTTAGAATAAAGGGGAAAAAAAAGAGTTTACTGTTCATGTATGGCACGTGACCAGTCACCATTTGTGGCTTACTTTAAGTTGATTTTTGCAGCACAAGAAATTTAAGGGCTTGCTTAATAATAATAATAATAATTATTATTATTATTATAAGGATTTAACTACTGATATTGGGGAATCAAAGGGCTTAATAATGTTTTTCTTTTTGTTTTTTTTTTCAAAAGAAAAAGTAGGTAAATGTACACTTTATCATTGTAAAAAAAATTATTAGTGCTTAAGTATTACAAAGGTTCGAAATCCTATATTGATTCGAAAGATAAGATTTTTAATTTTTTAGAATCACCAATTCTCTAAAATGTTTGGACCAAAATATCATCTTCACCAAAATTGAAGAAGATTTATGTACTTTTTCCTAAGACATGGGATGGGATACATAATCATCGCAAAACCTTATTAGAATTGTATGCTACGTATGAATTTAGTTAAATTAGTATTTATTAATTAAAAATTTTTGATTTTGAGTAAAAATTAAAGGTCTAAATTTTTACCATATTAAATAATTAATTTTTCAATGTATTAAAAAACTTAGAATTGTATGTTGCCTATTTAATATTCTCTTTGATTGAATTTAGTTATCCCAATTTAAATTTTACATAAAATTTGATCAAACAGTTAGTTTTATATAGTAAATAGATAGTAATTAAAATTTTTTTCTTTTAATATATCTTTTTTTTAGTATTTTCATTTAGATCAAAATATTTTTCAATTATTATCTATTATTCTATAAAATTATTTTGTCAAAATTCATGCAAAAATTAAATTAAGACATTAAAATTCAAATAAAAGAATTTTTTTCTCCCCCATTTTAGATTAAACATTTTCTTATTCCAT